CCAGGCCTGTAGGCAACACTGTTCATTATTCCACTCACCGTGGCAATAGCCAATAAAGAGAATGCAGGGAAGAAAAGAAAGATGAATAGATGATTAATAGCTGTATTACCATAAGGATATAGGAGAGAGAAAAATGACCACTTACAATGTGACTGAATATAATGTTTAACATACACAGATGTACATGTTTTCATAGTGTTTACATGAACGAAAGGAAAAATGTATTCAGCAGCAGCAAACATGACAAGCGGAGAATGTGTGAAGAAGTGCAGAGGACATTCTGAGCATTGCCTAATAATGCATCTCACAACGTGGATCCAAGGGTGACTAGCACAAATCCTATGGTGTGTCCAAACAGAAATAACGTCACAGATCCACTGTACACCTGATAAAATGTAAATCATATATTACGAACCATAATAACTTAAATAAAGGCGTATGAAACCAGACTTCTTTAAACATACAACATATAAGCTAGCTAAAAACTCTATAAACCTTTCCTGTTCCCTTGATGGCTTGTAGTTTCAAAGGTTTTAACAGGAAAACACTCTACAAAATGACAACTATATTTTATAGCAATGAGTTTTTAGTTGCACTGTCTTTCCATTTCCAATGCAAGCAGTGAGTTGATGCTGCTGCTTTAGCAGATGAGCAGCCACATTGCCTTCTTTAACAAAATTCATTAGTCAAGTACTCCAGGAAGAAAACACATGTAGTTGAGCACAGTTCCTTGTGTTGTGAGTAACTGCCCCTGAATGGCCTCTGCAGTGTTGTTTGGCCAGAAGCCACAGACCCAGAGCTGTCAGAGCTCTATGGCCTGTTGCTGGAGCAGGACTTGCAGCACTGCTGTCCATAGAACTTGTGGCTGCATACGCCATGCTTTGGAACCAAGTGGCACCACCTGAAATGGTCCACGCAGTACTCATCTGCAGAGAACAAACCAGATAAGGCATTTAGCAGTGAAACAATAAAGGACCTCAACTGACAGCTGTTTAGCAAAAATACATTAGGAAAATGGTGCAAGGTGGTCATTACAATTTCTCCCAACCCCAAGTGACATCTTGATATTGGTTGTTTAGTCCAACAAATCAGCTCTGTCAATGAAAGGAGAATTTTATGATTTAAAAAAATAGAAATGTAAAAAGTTAGTATAGCCACTCTAGAGACTCTGTTAGCTGCAATGCTTTGAGCTAAATGATAATGTGAGCATGTTCACAGTGGCATTGCTGCAGCAATATGCTGTTGTTTAGTGGGTGACATTTCTCTTTATCATGTTCACCATCTTAGCTTAGCTAGTTAGCATGTTAACATTCACTGGCTCAGCTGAGACTAATGGGATTGTCATTAGTTTTTGAGGAAATAGTCATAAAATAATACAAAACTGCACACTAAGCTTCAATATTTTATTGGTCTTGGCCACCTTCTAATTTTTCTAAATTGAAAATATTTCACTAAAATCAAGGTGGAGGAAAGATATTGTAGAATTCATCCTGTGGGAACGATAAAGGTTGGTACGAAATTACATTGCAATCCATTCAATAGTCTCTAAATGTTTCAGTCTGAACTGAAAGTGCCATCCCCTGAGCCATGCATCTGGACAGTCAGTGCACTAATATACTGTACTGTATACACAAACATTGAACTGTTTACTGGTAAATTCACTTGAGTTACTTCTCTTTGAAATGTGACAATAAATAAAAAAAAAAAAAAGCAGAAAGCTCGACCAAAAACATGACATGCAAACTACACAGAGTGGTGTTGTAACTTTTCATTCATTCATTTTCTACCGCTTAGTCCCTGAACGGGGCCGCGGGGGGGCGGAGCCAATCCCGGACGGCAATCAGGCGAAGGCAGGGTACACCCTGGACAGGTCGCCAATCCATGGCAGGGCTAACACATAGACGAACAACCACACACGCACTCCTATGGGCAATTTAGAGACACCAATCAACCTAAGCTGCATGTCTTTGGACTGTGGGAGGAAGCCGGAGTACCCGGAGAGAACCCACGCAAGCACGGGGAGAACATGCAAACTCCACACAGAAAGGTCCCGGGTGGGGGCCCGAACCCGGAACCTTCTCGCTGTGAGGCAACAGTGCTAACCACTGCCCCACCGTGCTGCCCCGTGTTGTAACTTTATGGTTATGAATAAATAAAAGTGAATGAATTTGTCTTTTTACCTTTCAGTGTCGGTCCGGCAGCTCTGACCCGGCTAGGGTATTGTGCTGGGAGAGCGGCAGTGCAGAAGTGCGTGTTGCACGCCCTGGAAGTGACAGGTCTCTGGTGGGGCACGCAGCCAGCTGCAGGACGACCTTGCCGGAGACACTGGATGGACCGAGTCTGGACCCCTCCGCCACAGGACACAGAGCACTGAAACAGAGGCAGGAGAGATACAGCAGAGAGACAAAAAAAATAACAAAAGGAAAGGCAGAATTAGAAAGAGAGAAATGAGAAGGGATACAAAGAGATAAAAATAGAAAACGGAAATCAAATGTGGAAGTGTATGGAGAAAAAGAAATCATAAAAAGAGCAGAAAAGGGAGAGGAAAGCATAAAGGAACTGTTTATGCAGAGACACAAAACAGAAGAAGAAAACAAATAGCATCCAGCCTGCACTTGCACTGCAGACAGTCAGGAGATACCTTACTGGTATCACAAGCTCCAATTCAAGCAGAACAGGACATTGCGTTATATGAGCTGTTTAAGTTTTTTCTTTTTTTTTTGCATAATAAATTACACTGATCAGGCACAACGTTATGGCCACTTGTACATCTGTATGCACTTCAGTGCAACACTTCTGCCTTAACATTTGTGTTTATGAAGTTCAAAATGTTTCAGTTTTTGGTGAGATTGTCATAAATGTATAAATCCGATCATTATTGAGGTCATAGTTAAAGGTGGTGTTGTACTGGACTACATTATATTCAGAGGTGTCTCTATATTTTTGTCCTGCCAATTGACATACATGAGAGGGTCAGAATATTAGGAACAGCTCTGAATATAATGTAGTCCAGTACAACACCACCTTTAACTATGTCCTCAATAATGAACATATAACTGAATTTATACATTTAGGACACAACCTGTCCCAAGAGGCTCTGTAACAGTGTGGAGCATCTCAGACCTATTCATCACCTGGCTAAGCTCTAAACCAAGTGTGTGAGCTACCACCACCTACACTGTACAGTCTGCCTCTGAGATTTTTGGGGAAACAGTGATAGTGGGACATTCATGATCATATGTCTTGTGTTGATCAAAGATTTGGCCCAAACATTGTGCTGCCTTGGTCATGCCAGGGCCTCTCAGAAAAGAGGGTCTGGTAAACAAAAACAAAAAAATCAATGAAGTGTGAAATGGTGAGGTGGAGAATAAATGTTGTGAATCTGAGGAACACTCAGGATTTGTTAGTTTCAGATCAGCTGACCACACAATGGGATGATTCTGCTAGGAGCTACTGCACTTTTAAAGAATACTGATTCTTTTGGCAGTGGAACAAAACACCCATTTCCCACTACTTCTTGACTACACGGACCATGCAAATATTTTTTTACAAATGTATACACGCAAATGTCATTTGACTGTATGCAAAGCTTTGCCTCCCTTACTTAACACTGGCTGTTTAGCCTTCTGCTCTCAAAGATGTAAAATTCCAAGTGTGTCCTTAATTTGAGACAGATGTAGACAGACTTTAGAAATGTGCTGCTTCAATTACATCTGGTTTGGTGTTGATCAGCTACTACCTGAGAAATGTGATACTTGTAATGACAACTGTCAGCTGTAGAGTTAGTTCATAGCTAGATAATAAGCTAAAGTTAGCTCAGCTAATGTTTCCAGCTGACAGCAAACAGGACCTGCTTCCACATAATGAGAAAATACTAGCTGGAAGTACTAGTCATGAACTGAGTGTTTTTAAACATAACATGCAAACTCACCAACTAATGATAATCTACTTGATTTTGGAAATGACCTTCTGTTCCTACTGCAGGAATTTAGATAGTTAGAACCAATAAACACAATGTTTAATCCAACCTTACAACTGTGCTCACATCATTTTGGGTTTTGAAATGTGTTAAAAAAAACTATCATGCTTACTACAGTCCCATGCACACTGCTTGAACGTGGAGAATCTGCAAACGGCCTGCAGTGTCTAATAATCATGGCACAATTGGACAATCACTTTACACTTTATCTGACAGCATAATTTGTTGTTGACAATCACTGTCTGGTGACAGGATTCCAGGGTTTAGCAAATGGTCAAAACAAACAAAAAAAGATCTTAGTTTAAGTTCCACCTAATATTCTTCCATACACAACCATCGAAGTTCCATAGTTACTGTAGTTTACATGAAGACAATTGAGCAAACTCCATCTGCTGAGGAAGACTGATAGATGTCTAGCTGTGGTTAAAAACCCAGGAACAAGATTTCAAACTTGAATTTTGAACATCAAGTTTCGACTAACTTTGTCCATTCTCCCAGCTGCCAAAGAAATCAGTGTATACAGTTTCTCTCCCTGTTAACTTTATTCCAGACACTAAGAGATGAATGGTCCATATCATCCATGTCCAAGTACTTAATTGATGCAAGATTTAAGTATCATCATGGCTGCAATGAGAAAAAAAATCTATTTTCAGCATCAAGTCACGTGCCACATGCTCCAGGATCAAATTTTATACCAAATATCCATGCAGAGTGGTCCACAACTGACATAAAATGATGCTTTACAACCTTTGGCATCAGGATTTGAACACATCACACATGTCTGATGTAGAAGAAATGCTCCAGATTGGAAGACTTTCAGCTGAAATGCACATCTAGCACAAAAAATCTGTCATGTCAGCAATTTTTGGATCAAAGGATGTACAAATGTACCTGTTGCCAGGGAGAGGAGTACCAGCCTAGGACCACAGCACTGGCGGTTGTTCTGCCAGAGACAACCTGAGGGAGCTCTGGGCATGGACCTCGGTTGCAGTCCTGTTGGAGATCCACTAAAGGTTTGGCCAAATGTCTGCATCTCCGTATGGGGAACTCCACATACCTGAGAAGGGAGAAGAGGCTGTTTGCTCAAAATGGCTCTTCCTACAGAACTGCCAGTTTTGAAAACACTGAAATTCTGACTCAGATGATATAGTACAAATAGTGACTGTGCAGATCTGTTAAAGAATGAGGCACATCCTGGTGTGTAGCTGAAGGCACATACCCTCCCCGGAAGTCCTTCTCTCCACAGCAAATCTCTCTCTTCTGGATGCCTGGACCACAAGACCTGGAGCACTGAAACACGGCGTAGGCAGGAAAGACAGGTTTAGAAAACGAATTTGCTAAGTGTGTATGTGTGTGTGGAATGCAGCCTAGCAGCAGACACTACAAGGTCACTTATCTGGGTAGTAACAGAGCCAATATGCTAAGTGCACTACTGAATGTTATATATTTTATTTGCTTGTTTTACAGGAACACATGTTAAAAGCTGAAGCCCCCATCCCTGGCTAGGCTTTAAAAAAACAGTTTCCAACATTCAAGAACAAATAGCTTCATAGACAAAACCAACTTAAACGGGAACAGATAAATCAAAGTGTAACAAACTGGCCCACACTGTTCAGTGTTCATGTCTTTGTTATTGCCTAAGCCACTGTTTTGTCATTGTTTAAGCCACTTTGTAGAAAATACTGTGAATTCCAATTTTAAGTCTACTGGTAAAGCGTTCAGTAGCTGTGAGCCTGTAACTGTGAAACATGAGTGACCTAAAGTGGTGCTGCACCTTTGAACTCTACAGTTTCCATTTAACTACCTCACTAGTCTTGACACCTTCGCTATTACATCTTTGATTCATTTGACACATTACATCAGGGGCAAGGCTATTTATAAATGAAAACTTTAGGAAATTATCAAAGGTTTGCAAATTATGCTTTTGAATAATTTGACAATGATGCCATTTAACTGGTTTCTGATCCATAACCTTTAAGGTTTGTTTGTATAATGACATTATAGGTTTGATTGCCGATTGAGAGGCCTGGCCTGATGAGCAGGTATACTTCATGTATGTGTGTGAGCATCTGTATGTGTCAAAATCTAACCACGCAGTGTATTCTGAGAAACATCTTCACTGTGTTTTATTCTGCTAGTCTTGTGCTGAATATCCAACCCGCACACTGACCTTTTCTATTTCATATTCAGCAACATGAACTATTTAGTGTGAGTGAGTGCTCCCACTCCTTTCACTCAAACTACTGTACTTCATTTAAGTAAGAACAAAGAGGAATTGACACGTTAGATTAAAAAAAAAATCATCTTTGGCACTAACATTAAAAAATATGCTGCCTGAATTGATGAATATCCAGCATGATCAGGGCATAGATACAGTTTGTAAAGGTTCGTAAAAACATCCATTTAACTCCCTAGGGATAAAAAGTATTCTTCAAAAAGAATGTATGCAGCAACAACTTGGTTTGAGGATAGTGATTATATTATCTAACAGCATCATTTGCTTGTATGGAACCTTTCATAATCCCATGAGTCAAATGCATCATGATGAATCATTTAGTCTGTAAAATGTCTGATAAATGCAGCAGTATATTCTGTTTCCGACTGTAAAGTGGAAAGTTCCATATTTAACGAGATCCTTTTTTGACAAGATATTTTTCATGTTATTACTGTTCTAATATTTTTTCTCATATTACTATTTTCTGTCAAATTAGTTTTAATCAAGATTTTTCTGGTTATTGAAATGTATTTTATTGAAATGTTTTATTTTGTTGTGTCACAAAATGTCCATTAAAAATATGTTAGAAAATCCTTATGCTTGACAATGTTTGCTTAATTAATTAAAAGATGAATCGATTTCAATATTTCATGGATTATTTAAACATCAGCTGCTTTAATTTTTGCGAAACCTTTAAATATTCCATTTAGACACCTTTACACAGACAACTTAAAAATTACTCTATTCTTTTTTCCACAAGTTATTTAATCAAAATGTGCTGTAATTGATTGAATTATTTATTTGGATGACTTGTTTTTCCTCAGCCTTCGTCTTAGACTTCCAGCCAGCTTGTTATTTCCAACATTTTGCTGGCCTTTCAACAAGCTCAGTGCAGGAATGTGAAGCTGAGCAGTAGTGATATTTTCAGTCCAAATGAAGTCTTGATGTTGCATTGTGGTCTATTAGGACTGATGGCTGTGGAACTGGCCTCAGTTGTCTATGATAAATTCTTCCCTTTATACTGAAATCAAAGCTTGATATCTACTCCAGCTCATGGCTGGATATATGTCAGGGTTAGGTCGTCTTCTACATTTGGAGTAATACATATACTGTATACCACCAAGACCCAGAAATGCAATGTGTGTCACTAAAATATTTTTATTTGATGGATTTCAAATGCTTTAGAATAGACTGTTGAGGATTATTACACTGGAAACAGCACTGCTGTTGCCACTCCTTTGGCCTTGTCTCTTTGTTCTTACCTCGCCCCAGGGGGCGGGGATCCACTGCAGCCTTTCATTTTTTGGGCAACGCCGCAGGACACAGGTCTCTTGGGCTTTGGGTTGGTGGTTCTGTCTGCACATGCTGTCGGGCACCACCACCGCTTTGGCCCCAGGATCCGTGCTACTGCAAAACACACTTCGCTTTCTCAGTCCACGCCCACATGTCTTGGAGCACTGAGAGTGGACAAAGAGGAAGTAAAATAAGTCACTGTGGAACAAAAGTCAAAGACACAGATGACTGCACCATCAGGAGTTTAATGACTCAGGAGACAAAGGTTTAATGACCATACACTGATTGAAGCATGCCGCATACACTATCACTTAGGCTTATAGTTCCTTATGATTGTTTTAACCTTCAATGTTCATCACAGTTAAGCATCAGGTCATATTACCAGCAGTTAAAGCCTTGGCACAGACACTGTAAATGCATTTGTCATTCATCACATGGTGGACAAGCAAACAGAAGATCACCAGTTTGATGACAGCACATTATGGCCTAACATTAACTACTATAAACAAAAAAGCTCGGGAGACGAATGTGATGCCAACCTATCAAAGTTCCAACCAAAGGCAGATAGTGCTGCTGTAAACTCCCTGTGAACCGCAGAGAGACAGACAGCTGAGTCAACTGCTCTACTGGGACTAACAACAACAGCCGTCAGGGCAGTTTATGCAGCAACATCACATTCATTTATTAGACACGTACACATCTGTGCATATCCATTTACATACACACCAGGAAAGTACACGCCAGTTCGTCACTGAAAGGTCCAACTGATCTTTTTCAGGGAGAGTGGCCTCATCTATGCATGACCGCTGCATGAACTCGGACTAGTCCATGAGCATGTCCCAGAGAGTGATTGCTGAATGGCAATGTCTAATGCAGGTCACACCAGCTAATCATTTCAAAAAGGTTTACAAATTATTCAATCTACTGCCAGATTATTGTACACAAGAACAAATAAAGGTCCCGTGTAGTGTGCAATGCACTGCGGTTACAAAGAAACACACCAAAACCTTAAAGTCATACTTGTATCATATGATTAAAAAGCCTCATCAAATGTTGACCTTGGGAAAAATAAAAACATATTTCCATGTTGCAAATGAATCAACCCTGCAAATCTACATATTACAAGTAGTAATCATTCAAGGTTGATAACAAACCAGACAATAAATAGCTATAATCACTTTGTCATTCCTGAGCATATTTGGTTATGAAATGCATATAGAGTTTATTCTGATTCAACTGCTCAAATTAATTTTCTTAAATTCCAAACAATGGCAAGAGTAAAAAAAAAAAATTCTTTGTTTTGGAAATGAAAATATGAGACTAATAAAGTTTGTCAGCAACTGGCAGATGTCAGATTACAGTTATATTTAGATACACGCTATTAAATTATATAATTTTGTTTTCTGTGTTTTCCACATGCCCAACAGAGGGCAGCAGAGTGTTTCATCTTAAGCAAACAGCTTGCACACAAAACTCAATGCATCTGAGTGTGTGTCTTTCAGGAACAGCCATATTTCTATCATGCAGGTGTTTAAACAGGTCACTGTGTTTTAATGTAAAGTTGGCTGTGTTCTACATAAAACCTAAATTAATTATGACAAAGAGCACGCATAATGTGCATAACCCTGAAGGTAAAAAAACTGGTTTCCAAACAAAGAAAGAACTGAGAGGTATCATCATCACTGAAGCCTGTTTATTATACACACTTCTGCAGCTTTCTATGCTTGAAAAGCATCCAAGTATTAAAGTCCTATATACCACCAGAAGCCAAATGCTATGTATTTTATTTTTGTATAATGTAGTGTACATTTAAGAATTTAATAATGTTGATGTTGAATTGTACATGACTAACACAAGGTCAGTCACACTGCATCTAGTAAGAATCTAACTCCAGGCTTTTGATAGTGTGCTTAGAACTTAACTAGATCATAGCAATGACTTTATGTAGCTTCACAGACTGCTACTTGTTGTGAGTTTACAAGAATATCAACAAACTCATCAAGTTAGATTTGCCTTTTTAAGTAGGAAAGCTGGAATAAGGCAGAGTCTGCAGACAGCTGTGGGCCGTCGAGCACAGTAATGTTCAAGCTAAATGCTAAACCTCAGCTTGACAACATGAGTATTCTTCACAGAATAAGCAATATTTCACCTGTTGGTGGCACTAAATAAATAGTTGGGGATAACATAATTAGGATTTCTCCTCTGGGGACCATGAAATTATACAGCAAACCATCCAGTAGTGATGGATCAGCCCATCTAATCAAAAACAACATGCCCTCATTGCCATCTCAACAGCTATGCTGCTACGGTAGGTCTACAAATGCTGCCACAAACCCACCTGTGACCAAGATCCAGTGCTCCACTCTGGCGGGCAGGGCTGGGTGTGGCAGGGTTGGACCTGAGCAGGGGAGATGACAGGGCAGAGGGAGTGTGTCACCACCTCTTGCCTCTGGTAGGTCACCTTCCTCAGGCAACGTAATGTCCTTGCCTGCTGACCTCCTCCACACGAGAGACTGCAGGGCCCCCAGTCTCCTGTTTCCCAACTGTGGAAGGATATTTAGAATGAGAAACAGAGAGTGAGGAGACTTAGGATAGAGGGCTTGCATTAATTATAAGTGAATGACAGTATTAACAAAGATCCTGTAGGTGGAGGTGAATGGATAAAACAACACAATTTTAGATTAAGGTTTTTGCACATGGAGCGGCTATAGAGTAAACTGACACCAGGATACCAGCCACATGAACTCCTGATCAGGACAGCCACCACAGATCCAAGCTCTAATCTGCTGCACTAATTATGGGACCCATTACACACAGAAAAACACATTAGTTATCAAATACTTCAGAAACCCACTTGTTATTTAGTGGTTTAAAATTCTAAATACTGAGCCAGCTGTTTTTTTTTTCCTGCTTTTCTTAGAGCTATGATTAATGAAAACCTAGACCTGCTGCTTTTAAACTACTATTTTCACACATTCATCATTATTGCTACACAAACAGACATGATAAAATACATATCCATATCTTTCCATCTCTGTCTTTATTATTTGGATCCAAAACTAAGCATGAAAAGCATCTTGTACATAAAGCTCCATAACAGCTTTCCCAGGGCTCCAGTGCCAACCACAGTATGCAACATACAACAAGGCTACAGACAGGTGTGGGCTCTATCATCTTTTCCTTCCCTTTCTATCTTTTTCTGTCTTCTTTTCCTGTGTCCTCTCTCCTTTTAACATCCAATTCATCCAATCTTTTTGTCTATTTTTTTGCCTCCTCTGTCCTTAAGTTTCTTTGAAATCCTGCTTCTCCCCTTATGAAGGCCTACGGCTGCTTCTAGAATAGCTTCTGTCATGGCAGCAGGGCTGAAAGGGGCAATTACAGCAAATGAGTGGTCTGACAACCACAGGCTTAGAAGAGGGAGATGGTGAGATGGGCAGATGGCTCAGTCCAGTTCTGAGGACGTGCTACCACATAGACCACTCCTCCATACCGCCGACCTGCTTCAGGGGAAGAAAAATGCTTTCATACTTTTTCAAATGCCACAGACACATGAAGCTGCAGGACCAAACTGCAATTTGAAAATGAGAGAGATCTGAACCATTGGGACCAAAAAGCATTGGTTTTGGATTTTTGGCTTACAGACCATTTGCTTTTTTCCCTCTATTTTCCCTCACTTATAAATAACAATATATCATTGAGGAAAAGTAGCTGAAGTGCCACTCTGCTTCGTGGTTCCGAGAAACCCACCAACACATTTTTAGTACTTGTATGGCTGCAGACCAGTTACCACCAATGAATGAACATACTGTATATTCCTAACCCAATACTGAGTCTGAGAGCCAATGGTTTTCTTACAGCAAGTTCTTCAAGTTTTTCTGCATAATTAAATATCAAAATGACCACTGCAGCTCAGCAGGTTGCTGTACCAATATTAACCAGGTCTCTGACCATATAAACTTTTTTTAACTCGGGTTTTTCCCCATCTGGTACTCATTTTGCTTGTAAAAACATCCCTACTATCTCTCCCCTTGTATTTTCCCTGTTCTCATCCCTTCATGAGGTCACTGAACAGTCCCTAAAGGCTTTGACATTTGCCTTCATGTTCTATAGTTCTTTACAGTATAGGTATTCCATGTAGCTGCTAATGCTGTTGCACTTATAGAAAGCTTCTCTAGATATAGGCGTACATCAATACACCTTTTGCATGGAAGACATCTTAACATGACACAGCATGAATTGATGATTTCCATTTTGCTGCTTCAGTTTCAGAGTCCTTATATCTGGCACATTTTGAATTTGTTTTCTACAAAGCTCCAAACACATTTGCTAAAATACTACACTAGTTTTTTTATGTTTTATTTTATTTATCTGTTTTTATTAATTTGTTGTGGGAGCAGATAACAAGAACACTGATTTCATTTGCAGGCCATTTCTCTTCATATTCACTGGTACTTCAGGCTTTACTCTCCCCTTTAGCAATTGTATTTTACTAGAATATTTTCATTTTCAGCTTCGTACTTCAACTTCACCTCACTTTAGAGGCAAATAGTCTACTTTTTACTCCACGTCTTTCATTTGATAACTTTAGTTGCTATTCACTTTTCAGAATAAAAGTAATAATACAAAATAGAGTATAATCATAAGTTATTGATCCTTGGTAGGAAATTTGCAGTCTACCCAGCAGTCATTCAAATTTAAGCATATAAACTTGTTAACATTACCTTCACCTTTACCAGCTACAATATTAAAATGAACACATTAGAGCATCAATAATTATAATCTATTATATAATATACATTAATGTGAAAGGTGCAATTTTGAATAATGAGTACTTTTACTTTAAGAAATGTAAGCAGATTTTGATGCTAATACCTTGGTACTTTTACTTAAATATTGCGCTTGAATGTGGAACTTTTACTTGTAACAGTAGTTTTACACTGTGGTATGGCTGGTTGTGGTATTGTGTCTGAGTAGTCCTTCCACTGCTGCTGGAAATATTCATTTTGTACAAATAAACTTAACTTAAAAAAAATATGCACATTTTTAGTGTCAATAATTTTTTTTTAATTATATATTTACCAGCTCTTTTTTTTTTCATTTTAGAAAGTCTGATTGGCTCTTCCTGCCCCTAGTATGTTGCATGTGAATGATTGTGTGATCATTTGCTCTTAATAGTTACTCTTACATTTAGCCGTAATAAATTATTCAGCAAAATAAATAAATAAAACACACTCGTAGACTGGCTCTTTAGAACATTCTTCAGTGAACTTCTTACAGATTTGGTATATATTAATCTCTTTTCAGTATGGTGTGCAATTTTTTTTCTCTTCACATCTTCTAACACAGGTACAGTATGTCATGCTTCACTTTTTTTTTATTGCAACACAAAATAACACATTTACAGGACAAAGCATATAACATACTACATGAGAGAAATGAGACAGACTAACAAAAGAGGCAAAGGGATTATTAGTTGAGGGTATTGAGTTATGTGTATGACGGTGTGTAGTGTGTGTGTATCCAACTCTATGCAGACTGATATTCATTGCTCAAGAGAAAATAGAATTAACGAACGATCGTTTTCTTGGCGATAGTTAGAGAGATAAGAAGTGGGTTTTTATATTTAATTGGTAGGTGGTTGACTTCTCTGGCATTACCGAGCAGGCAGAGTGATGGGGATGGCGGAATTCTACAGCTCAAGATGGTGGAGAGTTTTTTAGTCACCAGAGGGAGTAAACAGGTTGACAGGTCCAAGTAGCAGGAAGGTCATCATCGGCGCTATCCAGAGTGCATTGTGAGCAGGTATCTGTATCAATGAAACCCATTTTGAACATTTTACCTTGTGTGATGTGAGTCCTGTGAATAGTCTTGTATTGTATAAACTAAGTTTACATTGGTAGTCATGGAAAAGATATTACAAATCTAGGTCCAGAAGTCGGGGCTGGGGGGGAGAGATAAATCCGTTTCCCATTTAGTCACTGGTAATGTTATTGTTCCATCTGTATTTGACATTAGTTTATAAAGTTTAGATATAAT